ATGTTATGGTGATGCAAAAAGACACTGCAGACAGTCATTCAGTTTGCCCTGGGGAGGCTGTGGAGTGAAATTCAAACCATCCTTTTGAAGAAATGTTTCATGTACATGAATATAGTTGTAAACATGCTGAATCGCTGTACAGACTGATGGCAACTGAAAAAATGGTTTTGTTTTGATCATTTCTCCTAAAAAGAGACTGGAAATCAGACTATTTAAATATTTGTTTAGTATTCAAATGGAATCTTTGACCACTTTTTTTTGTTCCTGTTAACAATTTTGGTGCTTGCTGAGAGAAAGCAAAAATAACTGTTGCTCCATTTTCATTACTTTCTTTTTTTAAGTTATTTTGGTGGTCTGATTGTTTTTTTGCCAATAAATTAATTGTACAATAAAGTATGTTTGTACCATTGGAAAAATACTTCATTGTTGCCTAATTTTTTTTCCAGTAGAAATTCATGGTATTTCTAGATTGTAGAAGAGTTTTCAATATATTGTAGAAAAATCGTCAGACTGTTTGGAGCTGACAGGCTATGGCGACTCAGATAACCACCCTGATCGAGGTGGATAAACTTCAACAGCAAGTTCTGTCAGCCGTGAGCAGAAATCTAAGGCTGGAAAAACCCCTTATCTTCTGTTATGGGGATGTTAAAGTAATTCTGGAATTCTATTCCTTCATATCTGTTGTCCTTGACACAAGTCTTATATTTAATTCATTCTTAAAATGTTGAAACCTGCAGAGTCTTGTTCCAATCTGGGCTCTTGACAATCAATCTTTACATTTAACGCTACAGTCTGAGTATCGTCGCTGACCACGTTCAGGCCACAGTTTAAAATCGTTTGAGAATGCTCCACATCACAAATCAAAAGGTCTCAACTGAGTGAACTTCAGTGACGTCCCCCTTCACTAGATCTGATTCCAGTAGAAAACCTTTGGGATGTGGTAGAGCAAGAGATTGGCCTTGTGGAAACAGTGCCACAAACAACTGAAGCTGTTTGAGAGGCTTTGAGATCATTACAATCTTGTCACCTCTGCACAGTTTGTCCACCAGAGAGTGCTCACAAGTTTTCCAACTGTGATGTCCAGCTCCATACATTATGGATCTTAGTCACAATTCTCCACAAAACTGATGCAGACCTGGTCTTCATACCTCACCGGTAGATTTTTAAATCTGAGCTGGCAACAATTTAGATGACCGCACTCTAGAGAAAACATCACTAGGATTATTGTCTATTCCATTTCTACCAATAGATCCCTTTCACCTAAATCTTATACACTGAACCTTCTAAGGAATTTCTTCACATCTGGTACAAATATTCACTTGGGATTGAACTGATTAGATTTTTCTGGTCAAAGGACAGAGGTGACTTCATATGAATCTGGAAAACAAAAATTATGTCGGCAGAAACTGCACCGGTTGGTGGAGGCAGTGTGTTTTTTTTTTCTTCTTTTTATTAGGATCTTTGTCAGCTGAGCTGTTAAATATTACAAGTAGGCTGTTTCTATTTTCATTTCTCGAAACTCTAAATCAAAGCCACGTCGGTTACTGTGAGGAAGCAGGACACATTCAATAAAAACTATTTCAAACATGAGCAACATTTATTTTTAGTATTACCATAGAAATATTCTATACACAGTGACACTTAGTAGACTGGAGCAGGTAATGTCACGATAAAGTGCAAGGTTCTTCGCTCGGTAAAGCAGCACAAGCGACCACGGGTAGACGACGTCAAATCCAGGGCGCTTGTTTTGTCACATTTAGATATAGCATCAAGCTCAGTGGTTATCACAAACCGTATAAAAACTATTCCATCATCTGCGTGACAAATACACAGGTATCTTTAAAGAATAAATATACATTCAGGTCAATGTAGAAAAATAAGGACTAAAAAATACATGTTGTCTCCCTGTGGCCCCTTCCTCTTTTTCTTCCTCCTTTTTTAACGACTCCTCTGCAAGTCTTGTCAAGGTCATCGTACATCCAGACACACAGAGACCAACAACCTTTAACTGTGTGTGTGTGTGTGTTAATATCATATACTGTATATAAAGATGGTCAACATGATTTCTTTCCAAAAGTGAAGCCAAAAGGTCTCGACCACCCCCCCGTTGGCTGGCTGCAGTATCTGTCATAAACCCCACCTCCTCCATGTTCGTAAAAGAGACACGGACAAGTGAAAATTAACTTTTTTTTGAGTTTTTGTCATTTCAGGAAGTTCAAAAACGTAGTAATGTGGATGTAGACTAACATTGACTTTCAATCCCCTGACACTACTGCGCAGAGTCTGGCTCCAAATGTGCAAGATGGCAGCGTTCATATCCTCGATATTTTGGCTTCATTTCCAGATCGTGGGAAGAAGTGGAGAGACGTCCATCTTTATATACAGTCTATGGCTTGTGTGTGTAAAGGACAGAGAGGGAGAGAGACACATTAGCCCTAATAGCTCTACAGGCAAAACAACAACAATGTTACGGAGCATCAGGCACTTTCATTCCCTGCAGCTTCACTATCACACAGACGCAGCTCTGGGATCATGAGACACTAACCCATCATCCTTAGTGTGGGATAAACAACCTGTGGACCAATGAGAGGCCACTGCGGGACATTCCACAGACATGACTCATCACTTTAGCTCCTGTGTGCAATGGACAGGACGCCGGCAGGCTTACAAAGATATACTGGCGTCAGTTTGGGGCTTTTACTTTTTTAAAATTGCTAACAATGAATTTAGAAATTTTAAGGAGACTCTGTATATTGATGATCGAAAGCGGCAGAAACAGCTTCTAAACAGACCATGAGTTGAGACAGTTTTGTCCGCTGCTGTTTTTAAGCTGATGAATGAATTTGTACTTCTTCTTCATGTTACATCATCGAATGATAATTCAAAGCAAAGAGGGTCTTTCTGGAAAACTCTCCAAGTCAGTGCATTCCAGTGTTTTTTGGAACTGTGTGTTTAATTTGAATAATCTTTGAATTACTCATTTTCTTGTTATAAACAAGCCCTCACCACAAGCCCACGTCCTGGTCAGGAATCACTGAGTTGATCCTTCTCACTGATTTGTTAGATTTTTACAACTACACATCTGAATATAATATCTTTTAACAGCCAAGTGGAATTGATGTTTTTCTGTTAGATGTGGTTTTATTGATGCTATAAACAGCAGGGTGAAACGTCATGATTGACAGCTGAGTATCGGCAGGACCTCGATACTGTGGCTCCACCCCCTGACTCTGGCTCCAAATAAGCAAGATGGCAGCATTTGTATCCAGGATATTTTGGCTTCATTTCTGAATAGTGGGAGGAAGTGGAGATGCGTGGTCCGTCTTTATAAACAGTCGATGTAATGTAAATACAGTGCAAACTCTTATTTCATTATATTATCAAGTCTACTTTTGGTACAAGACAGAGTGGTCACTTTTATGGTGATTTGTATATTTTGCGATGAGGAGCGAGGTGTAGGGATAAACGACACCATCTTAACACTGACAGAACTGTAGGACTTCTCTAGGAGGGGGTTTGAAACGCATACGAGACTGAGCCGTGTGCTGTACAGCGGCACAGGGCTGCATGTTAGTATGGGACTTACAGCTGCGTCCACCTCCCTGTATTAAGAGTATGTACAGAATGTTTGAACGTTAGTGGCTGAGTTTACATGCACAGAGGACTCTTCTTTTGTTTTTGGTACTTATGTGTGCTGTATAGTGAACTTTAGGGTTAGGTTAGTAAGTTGTTACTGAGATACTTTTTATCTTATTTGTCGAAATTCTCTTCATGTCCCAATAGCCATCAATAAATAACGCCAGAAAAAAAGACGCTGTCTGAGTACCTGTCTGTCAGAAACTGTACCGGATGTACATTTTCAAAGAGTAACCTGCATATGCTATTTTTTCTAGCATTACCAAGCCTAGCTTTAAGTTCAATTTTATGGAACTTGTTCTTCTCTCAAATTCTGACATTTCAGAATTAAACCTTTCTACAACTCTTTTAAAGTTTAGAGAAGAAAGCTCTGAAAATGATTTTTCTGTGAACTATCCCTTTAAGGTCCATGCTGTTAATCCTGCAAAAATAAGGAGCTATGGTCGATGGTCAAACTGGACCGACTCCTGCTTACCGAAACTGGTTCCTCAAGTCTGCAGCTTCAAAATCTACAAATGGGCCAGATCTGGTCCTCCAGTGTCGACAAGTGCTTCTCAGTGCATCAGCCTGGGTCCCACATTTTTTCTTCGACAGACATTAACAGGCCAAAACAACAGAAGTATCCGTTTTTTTAGTGTGGTGATATAATGTTACCTCTTCACTCGATGCTTCTGTTGGATCTCTGCTCTAATGAGCTACATTATTACTCTCTGTGGAGAATCGTTTGGGCTAATTAGCGACCGCAGTTAGCCGTCCATGTTTGTACATTTCCTTTGGTCGCCCATAGACGCCACAGATCATTATAACTATCTAATGGCCTTTTAATTAGAGGCAATTCAGTCTAAATATATCAAGGGCGAACAGCTCAAACTAATTATAACCTTATATAATGTCCAGGTCAACAATACTTGAAGTTCTGCTTACACTCGGATGACTCTGTGCATGTAAACGTGCCACTGACCAGTCTCAGCTGGCAGTGGGGAGAGTGAGAGGTTGCAGAGAGGGAATGAAAACACCAACCTTGTCCCTTAACCATTTACACACTGTGATTAAAGCCAGTGCCTCCTACAGAGCCCCCCCGGACAACCACACATTTCAGACCTCCAGGCCCCAGTGTCTGAAGAAGCCTTCGGCCACCCTTGACTCGCGGAAAGTCACTGTGAGGGACTTCAGGGTGACATCCGTGACCGTCACCCCTCCCGGGCCGTGGACGGGCCTCCAGACGTTGTCCGGTTTCTCCGATACAGCGGTGACCTCGTCCGGTGCGATGTCGGAGCTCCACCGGTCTGTCCTCTCTTGTGAGTGAGGAGGGGACATGGAGAGTCAGTCAGACAGTGTTTCCATCAAGCGTATAACACATGTGTATTGTTCTTGAGTTAATCCCCCCTGCAGTGACCAGGGTTGATTATCTTGGTTGTTATAAACTGACAAAAGGCAGATAGGATGTATGTGGTGGGGACACACAGGGAGAACAGAGGTGCCCCATTCTGCACCCAACATTATTACTTTGAGAAGAGATATCTCAAAATGTCTTTAAATGTATTTTTCTAAAATTATAGCAGGTGGAAGAATGACTTACCAGTTCAGTGTCAGTGGTTGGGCCAACAGAACAGCATAATAACAAGTATAGACTTTACAGCAAATACTGTCTCATATTTAAGTGCACATACAGACTTCAAATACTCTTTCATGAGTCTCTATTTTAATCCCTGCATCGTTCTTCTCTTTAATCAGCTCAGGATGGAGTTCGATACTCTTTGTTGCGTCCCCAGTGAAATAAATCCTGTGCATGGCCGTGCCTGTGAGGAGGTTCTCAAAGAGTCAAGTAAACTGGGTCGTGATGGTGATTAGAGCCCACTGGCTGACCGACTGACACACTTACCATTAAGAATGCCTTCTGTAGTCTCCCTCTGAGCCACCTCCTCCTCCCTATCCTCCTCGTCTTCTGCATCCTCCTCCCCTTCTTCTTCTCCCAGGCCTTCCCAGTCCTCTTGTGTTGGACTCGGAGGGTTTGAGTCCAGGCAGGTGAACTGCGAACTCCCAGGTTTGCATTTGTGGTGCTGCAGTTGTGGTACGTACGGCTCGTCCTCGTCCTCTGGGACCAGCGAGCGCGTCAGCGAGAGACGCAGGCGAGGCGGGGCACTCTCAGGGATCTTGTGAGCGCTGCGCAGGTCCATGGTGTAGACGGTGCTCTGAGTCCAAATCAGAAAAAGGGAAACAAATGAGTCTTTGTTCCAATAACTGTATGAAAGCATTTAACCTGGTCAGAGAGTCGAGTGGGGCGAACTGAAGTGGAGAGTCTATTCAGTCAAAGGTCAAACACCAAACGTTACCTGCAGATCGAGTCTTTTGGTCTTTGACCCTTTCCTCCTGTGACCCAGAGCTCTGTCTCTCTGCTCTCTAGAAAAACCAAGCACATTAAGGTTAGTACTAATTATATAAAAATATTTGGTCGATATATCTGTGTCAAAACATTTTCTCTCCCTCACATCTGTATTGGCATCTGCCCAAAAAATCAGTCAGGCTCTAGTTTTCTTGTCAGTATTTACCACATCACACATCACGGATTATTAGTCCACTTGAATCATGGGAGCATTTCCCTGTTGGTTTTCATCAAAGACTCAATCTGACTCTTTCTGTTTGCAGAGATGTGAATAAGTTACAGTAACTGTATGTCTTGCACTCTGCTCTGCTGTACTCTATTCTGCTGCACTCAGAAATGCAGCCAAATGTGAATATGATCACATTTGGAGATGATTTGGCAGCGAAACTTGTGCAGTTAGGATTTTACATGTATTTCCAAATCCAATTACAATCCAACCACTAAGGACGGCTGCTTACACCAGCTAGAGAGATGTCTTGGTCTGCTGAGTCGTGATCTCTTTATGGTGAATTTAACGGAAGAAGAAACTTGACTTATTCAAGCTCCACTTTGTGTCAAACACTTCTGTGCTTTCCTGGACTCAGGCACTGCTTCTCATCTGGCACAGGTTACTGAACATGATGAGTGGAACCTTACTTCTCTTCATAGGCCTGCACCAAGCGCTGGTCCAGAATATGTTCCTCAGGTTCCCATGTACTGTATCTGCAAAACAAAAAAGCATGAGCAAGCTTCCTTTTTTCTACTCACTTCCTTCATTCGCACATCATTGTATTTTATTGGATATTCAAATAGGTGTCTCTGTCTGTTACGGCTGTGTTGATTAACATTTACCTATAAAAAAACATTCATTTACTATGTGTTGATCGACAAAGGGTTCACACAATGACTCTGTTGTCTATGGTTGCACTCAACTGGTATGTTATATAATAATATGCTCAATATGCTGAGCAACAGTCAAATTCAATTACTTTTTTAAAACATTTTTTTGGTTAATTTTTTTCTATTTTGTTTGGCCTTTATTTTATAGAGCATGTTTTAAATGTATTTATTTTGGGTATGGATATGACTTTTAAATATCTAGTGCATGTGTCAATCTGAATGTAATGCACCTTTATATTTATAATCTGACAGTCCAGTATAATCCATTCATCTCACACTTACTTTGGAGGCCATCCTTTCCACTTCAACAGATACTCCACATTCCCCTGCGAGGAGACATTCAGTTTAAGAGCAGTGCAGCCAAGACATTGATATCAATTAGAGAGCACACTGTGGCTTGTCCCACACACATTAAAATTAAAAACCATTTTAATGTGTTTAATGTGGCAGTGAAACTGTGGCCAAATGTTTAAGGAGTATTTACTGCAGGTCGTTCCCCCGACCATCTGATTCCGTTTCATGTCTCTACTTCAAATAGAGGCATTAAAACAATGACATGTGAATTATCCTGATTCTGGAGGTGCCACAAAATTTGAGATAAAATATCTTTCACATTCTCTTGCACATTTATTCAGATTAGGGCGTTAACAGACTGTATATAAAGACGGAACTACTGCGCAGACTCTGACTCCAAACGTGCAAGATGGCCGCGTTCGTCGGCAGGATATTTGGCTTCATTTCGTCATCTTTAATCTGTGGTTGTTAGGATCAAAGAGGCAAATTCTGAAAGCCCCAGACTGTTGCCACACTGATTCAGGGATGACGCATCTTGTTAATGTTTCAAATGTTTGCACCCAAAATCAAGGGTCACACAAAAAGCCAAACTTTCAAATTAAAGTCCAAGATATTACAAGATAGGACAAATCAGACTCATGGTAGACATCGATTGATTTTTGAGTTTTTGTGTAGGGTGATGTACCATCAAACAATAAATGACAGATATATCAATAACCGTCGGATGTGAAATGTACTGTATGTATTCCAGATGCCAGCCAAGCCTTTAACAGTAAGTCTTCCTCTGTGACTCATTCAATAATAACTACCAGCTATTCTCAGCAGGTGAGGTCACCACTTTTCCCGACTTCATCTTACTCACCCAGTTCCCCACATACAGTAAACAGGGCATGCGATATGGGGGAAGAGTTAAAGTGTAGATGAACAGCATTGCATATGCTTGGTCTCTTAACCTAGATATCCACAATTCCAATAGCTTGCAGTGTAAATCCTTTAACACATGGTGCATGTAAATAGTGTGCACTACTCCTTAAGACATGAACAATAGAAAGCATCAATGGGAAGATCACTTCAACTCAACAGGCCTAGTGTCCTCAAGGAAGGTTTAAGTTTGGTGAAGCTGTGACAGCAGCTTCAGGTTCTATGGTGCCACACATTTCTTCAGAAACTACAAAAGACAAGATCTCTGCATCACTTTTTCAGGAATTCACTAGAAATGTTAGAGAAAGTGGGAAAGAAATAGCTGGATCCATCCATGACCCTGAAAAACATCCCTCCACCAAGTTTCCTGTTAACTCGTCCAGTAGTTGTTGCTGCTGTTCGAGCCCAAACAGTGAACAGGCCCAGAACAAGGTGGATCCTGCTCCATCCACAGTGTTCAGGCTGGAGTACAACAACACACGCACGTTGTTAAAGGGACATCCTCCTGCATCCCGCCCCCTGCACACATGCAGCCTGCAGTTAGACAACCATTTGTTCCATCTGCTCCCACCACAGCGTCTCCTCACGGTGTCCCGGGGGGGCAGCGGGCAGCTCTCACCTTTCTCACTCTCTTCTTCACGATCGATTCCACAGCGAACACTTGCTCTCCGATCGCTGACAGCTCCATCACCGAGCACCGCCGTCAAAGTAGCGTCCTCCTCCTGCACTAACTCCGCTTCCCCCGTGTTTAGTCCTCACCCTCCCGGTTGTCCTCCCTCAGCAGAGTCGTTGTTCTGTCAGTTCAAGCGGAGCCACTTTCTCGTGCTGTGTGTGAGTGTGTGTGAGTGTGTGTGAGTGTGTGAGTGTGTGTGAGTGTGAGTCCAGTGACTTTACAAAATCTGCGACACATCTGCACACTGCTTCGGCGCGCGCCCGTGCTCCCAGAGCGCGCTCCGCGCGCCACCAGTCGCCTCGTGCCCCTCATCCTTCTCTCAATGTGGATGAGTAACACGAGGGGCGCTGATAGTAAAGCTTTACATTCAACCTTTAATATGTAAAGTTAACATTTCATATTTAACATTTCATAATTTGATTTAACATTTGGATTCAACATTGATTTACCATTTAAAGTTTAGATGGAAGAGATTTAGATCTAAAATGATCATTCAGGTGAAGATTTAACAAGAAAACAAAAGAAAAACTAAGTTCTGCTTCTCAAACTTGTTTTCTCTCTTTTTTACTTTTTCCCCACACTTTGCTTTTTGTGTGTGAATCGAATGTTTTAAAGATTTCAACAGTGAAATAAATCCTGAAAATCACTGGTTTAATCCCTTATATACTAATCAAGGTTTTTATGTCTTCATGTAAATTCTTAATTTGACAGGAAACTAAAGTAACTGCAGCTGTCAAATAAAAGCAGTTGTGTGAAAGTCCAATATGCACCTCCGAAATCGGAGGAAATTGGGGTAGAAGTATGCAGAAGCTGTACGTGGGAAAACTCACAGGTCAAGGATGAGTACCTCAAGAGTGAACTGAAGTACAGTAATCGTATATAAATATATTAGTTACATCAGATGGAATTGTCAAACATCAGGGTCACATTCTCAATAATGAGCCTTTCCAAGCAGTAACACACGCAAACACACACTGTAGCTTATACATAAAGTGCCATTATAAGCATTTTATTTCTATGCAAAAAAAAAGTGACAATCAATATTCCTTAAGCAGGAACAGCTGAACGGATTGTCGAGCCAAAGTAAACAAACAGACAATTGAATGCAGTTGCGAGACACTGGTTATGATGTGAATGGGTCCACGTATCCCCTCTGATATTTCACTTGAATTTATTATGGCATTGAGTGTGTAGACACACACTGGACTGGAATTGAAGATAGGACCTGCACCATTGAAAATCATGAGATATTAATGTTATATTTGAAATTATTCTGCTTCAAATTTTTGTAAATAAAATAAAGTCCTTGGCTGCACAAGTGAAAAAAGAATCCTTACAGATGAGATCATCTGTGTATCAGTTGAGGATGAGTTGTTCCTCCTCTAAATTTAGGATAAAGTGGTGCTTTGGAATAAATCTCTTGAAATGTCATGGAACTGCACAGCCCCTCTCACTCTTTCAGAGAAACACACATATACATATATTTGTTTTTCTAATGTAAACAAGTTAAGGCCAATATCGTCATAAACAGACAATCCTTGTATAAACATCTTAAACTGATAGATGTGAAAGCTACGACAGCAGACTCTTTTAAGGCCCATTTCACAATGACCAACCACAAACACACATCTGGTAAGACGTGTGGTCACTTCACTTACAGTTTCCTTTTCACGTTATAACTTTCTAGATTATTCACTACCCAGGCACGTTACGCTCCATCCACTGTTTCTCAAACTGACAACTTCCCTTCACAGAACCAACATCCCTTACACATTACAGATCACCGCTGACTTGAAGCAGACTCAGTGGGTCAACGGGCAACATCCTGTCGGAGCAGAGTTTGGCAGGTTTGACAAGAGATTTTTGAGAGGAGGAGGAGCACCGGCTGAGCTCTTGTGCTACAGAGGGCTGCGGCGGTGGGGATCATTTGAAAAAGAAACAGGAACAGAATGAAATTTCACTCCTGTTCTGTGTTGTGTCTTTTGTTTAGTAATTATGCAAGAGTAGTGATATGGAGAAGTAAAACAATATTTCTTTACACCTATATGACATTTTTGTGAATAATGTGCTGAAACTAAGTCCACTCACTCTGGAGATTTTGACCTTTTCAAAATAGTCGTCAGCATTTTCTCAGTTACAACAGAAGTAAGGGTGAAACTTAGTGTCCAAACCAGAACATTTGATCTATTTACTTAAATGTTGATTTGAAAGATTTACTAATTTAACTGATTTATAAATGTAATTTACTGCTGATGAGTTGAAAGTTTAAACATCTACATTTCCATGACAACTGAGCCAACTTAATCTGCTGACAAGCACCATAGAATTTGATCAAAAGCTTCACATCAAGCGAGTAAGAGGCCCTTGAGTTGAGATTAGAACTGTAGAAGTTAAATTCTATTAATTATTTCGATGTGCTGTTTCTTTATCGGCCTAACTTGATGATTGTTACAGTAAAATTCTACTAAGGATGATTATTATTATTAGTATTTAATTACTTCTTTACTCTGTAGTAACCATTTGAATGTGAAAACCTTATAAAAAAGAGCAAGGAAGGAAACGGAGGTTAAGGATCCACTAGAGGGAGTGCATGGTCTGTGTGTTGCATTGCTTTGTTGCCATTATAAAACAGTTGTGTCAGCACAGCCTCTGCACAGTGCAGGCTCAGTCTGTACCAGAAATGTCTGAAAAAAGGATGAAATACGAAGTTGGCAACGTGATCATTGACTTTGTCCTGTGATATGAACAAAGTGACATAGAGGAGAAGTAAGATGGCGTCGCACTGAGGTAAGGGAGGGCACGCTTTGGTGAAAGTGAAGGATGGAGGAAACGGACAGCTTTTTCACAACGTACAGGGAGAGACAGGAACACGAAAACACATGGGTGAACATCGTGACTGAAGCGGGGACGATCGCCGATGGAGACAAGCAGATTAACACAGCTTGTTTTCAGAAAGTCTGAATTCCCCTCACTTTGGAAACTTGAACAGTAAAAAGAAAAAAATAACAGCTCAAAAACAAACATTGAAAAATAGTCAATATATATAAAAACACAAGAGTAGCAGAAACAGAATAATAACTTGTCTTAAGTCTCAACTGTGATGTGAGAAAAGGACTGTGATTCTTTGATTCTCCCTGTAAAGTGTTTCCTTCACTGCTTTGCATCTTATTAGATAAGAGTCCAGCAAAGGCCGTGTAAACAAAACCCAAATAAAAAAGGAAAAAAAAATACATCTTTAAGTGTGCATCCATGTGTTTGGCTGTGCACGACTCAACTTCCTCTTCCGTTCATTCTGACATTGGCTGTTGGCCCAGTTGGAGCTGTGGTTGGCTGGTTAACCCCTCAGCCATCGGAGCGCCACGTTTGCCGTGCCTCTACTTCCTCTGAGACGACCAATAGGAGTTCACAGTTCTTCCCTCGCAGCTGCTGGCGAAGAAACTTCCTAGGTTGCGGTGAAATGAAAAGCAAACAGGAAAGCCACAGTTATGAAACTGAATAAAAAATTTAAAGGTCAAAAGAGACAATACAAATAGTAATTTAAAATAGGCAGACCTGCTCTAACCTTCCATTGATTGTTTTCTTTTGGCCACTTGAGGTCAGTGGAACAGGCTGTAAGCATGATACACACAAACTACACACAACACTACAACACTGACACACTGTCACAAGGAAATCTATACAATAGCTTCATATGAAATGAAGCGTCTTCATTTCAAGGCTTAACAACATTTTATACCAGTTTTAGAGCTTTTTAAACTACAACAGGCAGCAAACTTGGCTTTACCAAAGATTCTTTAGAGAAACATCTACACTCTATCACTATTACCGCCACCAAAATGTGTGACACTTTCAGTTCTTACTAATGTCTTTGGTCATGTTCTACATGTGTGGATCGAATAGGCTACACAGAAAATACACTAAATGTTCTCAAATGGAATGAAATATTACAAAATATATAAAAAATTAAAAAACCTTAGGTCTGCATTGTTCTTATTAACTACACAGTGTCCATGTAGTACGGCAGTTACAACAACTGGGCAGTAAGGGGTGCTGCAGTCTCTTATACAGCCCTTCTAACGGCAGCCCTTGCCTGTTCCTGCTGCTACAGCACATCATCTGAACTGCTTTTCTTTTCTGTGTCATGGGGGCTTTGACAACTTGTGCGGCCAGATTATAAAACTGTTCTTGCAGCTGCTTCCCAGTAGAAAGACGCCTGTCAGCAGTGACGGGATTTGATGGTTTTACTTTAAGAAAGCAGCTGGAACATAGTCAGAGGTTTGAAACTTGGATTCTAAGCTTTATGACGACAGAAGAGAAAGACAGTTATAATCATAGCCGTCACGGTGCGCACATTTCCCCTCAACATAAACACATCACATCCCTCTAACCTGAGCTGTTCCGGGTTGCCGATGGGTTGAGGGCTACGCAGCTTGGAGTCCAGGTTGTAGTAGACTCCTCCCACCTCTCGGACTCCTATCCAGTGCTGGCGTTTGAGCGGCAGCCGCAGGGGCCCCCAGCGCAGGTTGGACGGCACATTCAGAATGAAGCCTGTCACATTGGAAAGCTCAATGCTGCCAACATCCCTGGAGGAAGAAAGGCAACATTTACCTTTTTTATCAACTTCACTATAGTTTTGCTAGAGAGACATAGTTTCACAAACACTATGGAGAAATGGGCGTATCATATTTAAATTGGTACTAAACAATTTTCTCTTGCACACTTTATCTAAGGTTAGTTATAAACTCAACAGCCACTTCTCATGAGGGGTCAGTTTTCCTAGATCACATTTAGCTGCTTTCAGACATGAAGTTTCCCTGATGTATGAGAAACGCAGCAGGAGATTGTCAGGGTCAGACGTGTTCACAACAACAGGACATTCAGGTGAGGGGTGGCGCCCGGGTAGAGCAGCAGAGGGGAAGGATATGCCGCAGAAAGCACAGGGTTTTTGTTACAACACATTGACGCCGGTGTCGGCCCTCAATCCTCAAAAGATCTTTATCTCCACGTCTTTCCAAGTTGACATCTTCTTTGTGTGTAGCACACATCCCAAGATTGATGTATTCAGTCAGTTTTTGCATCTGTTGTGGTAGAAACATTAAAAAGACCACTCGCTCGCTGTGACATTTTACTAGCGGGCTAGTTTCTGAAAAAGTCTGGAGTAACTGACTCAGACGTCGTGTTCTCACATACAGACCCTTTTGGTGATCTTCAGAAAAATGGCTGAAAGCAGCTGATGTGTATGATACGCTGCCAAAATAACGAGCACATTGGAGGAAGTTCTGCAATTGATATTATGCTGAAACCAATTATATTGTTTTGAGAACAAACAAACTCAAGTTGCATATTTATTTTCAAAAAGCAGAAACCCTGTTTTTTTACTGACATTCGAACGTTTCTATTGATGACAGTGATTAAAGCTCTGTCCTGTATCACAACACAGTATTTTAGACGAGGGTACAGTGGTTTCAATCTCGATTTCAGAATCAACATCTAGTCACTTCATTATGATCAACTCAGTATTGCAGTTTGTTGCATTGCTTGGAAGCCAGGTTTAGAGAGAGTGTGTTTTTTTTCCTTTTACACCTTTGCAGGAAATCGAAAGTATGTCTCATAGAGTTTAACTGCACTGTGAGATTTGAGGGGTGAACTTTAAGTTGTGGGGTTCTTTGCTTGGATTCTTTAAACATATTTAAACTACTGAACACTTACAAACAAACTATATTTCATTAGATGCTACCGGGAGAGTTACCACTCTATTGTTTTTGTCACAAGCTTCAGAGTAGCTATGATTCTGCTCCTGTTTAGATCAAGAGAAGGACACAGGCTTTTCTGATAACAGTAACGTAATGCTGATAAAAACAAGTCCGTGACTTGTCAACAGTAATGCCAGACTGATATGGGGGAGGCAGGAATGCTGATAAAACCGTCTCAGACTTTGTCAGTTGATGAAACTGTTTCTGTGATGAGGTTGCTGAGGTGTCGAAGATAACACAGGAAGCTTTTTTTCATAAACATGCGTCAATACATCTTTGCAAGACGCATATTGAGTGATTGTTATCAGCCAGCTGATAATTTGGTCAGGAATACCCTACATAGTCACAGCACTTCTTCAACCCTGGTCTGAAATGATCAATTTGAGCTCTTTGCCCACTTCCAAAAAAGCCAATTCTGCTCTGATTGGGCAGCTGACATTCTCTTGTGATTTGTCAGCTGCTTAGAGCGTGCGTTGAAAATGTCCCACCTCTTATCAAGATTCTTCCTGATCAGATGTAAAACACGACTAGAGCCACAGTCACAACGAAGTAAGTTCTTCTGTACCAATTCTAGCCAAACTAGCTGGTAGGTGAGCATTTTGTAATTAGTGATGTATAGCTTTATGGAAAACGAGCCAGAAATGCAAATAAGAAAAAAAAGTCATGACACTGAAGAGGAAAAAAAACCCAAAAGCATAGCATTGACACTTTAAGTGGAAGCTCCCATACTGCAAATATTACAGCTAACAATAGATGTTTGATTTCTTCCTGTCACCCTGCACATTTATGAAAGATAACAGAATAATAATAAAGAAACATTGTACAAACACACTTTTTTTTTCTTTTGTTTTAAGCTGCTGACCCTCATTTTTTTCAATTTTTAGGGAAACATCTAAGACAACACTGGTAAAGTTTTCATTAGCAGTTCTACGTACCTTCTTTTATCCCACCACACTGCCTCAAACCCTCGGGTCTGCAGGGCTGCCATAATGACATTTACATCATAGTTCCCATTTCCCAGCATGCTCTTCTTATGGGGCGTCACCAGAGTGCTGGGAGAAAGCCTGCAACAGGTTGACAAGAAGGATTATCCACAACATTTCCTGTACACGTGATTAATATTGTTATGGCCTGGTGCTCAAGCTCACCTCTGGTATATCTCCTGCAAGGTGTCCCGACTGAAGGCTGTCCCGTCCTGGAAGACGTTATTGAGCGCGTGCAGGGCGCACAGCTCCCTTCGCTGCTTCTCATGATAAATGGCTGGAGGTGTCAAAGAGGATTGGGGAGGCGCTGAAGGGGTGAGGGAGGAGGAGGAAGATGAGAGATCCTGCTGCTGTTGAGAGTCCCTGGGATCCCTGCACCTCCTCTCCTCCGCTCCCACCACCACCTCTCCTCCTCCTCCATACTTCTGCTTGCTGACCTTCCAGGGCATGCAGCCCAGCTCCTGCAGGCCTCCTCGCCCCCTCCCCTTCCACTCGCCGGCCGGACACGGAGCGCTCCCCATCTCGGCTTGTTCGCCTCCACCGCCGCTGCCCCCTCCTCTGGCCCCGCCACTACCTCCACAGCTACTACCTTCAGGATACTACATCAGCATCATGGCAACCATTGCCATAGCAACCTCTCAGCCGCTTGGAAGAGAGGAGCTAGTGTGTGTGTGGTCGAGAGGGAGGTGGGGGTTTGCAAGGTAAATGAGACCTGTGGCTTCAACACAGCGACACCTGTTCTTGCTGAAGGATGCACGTGAGGAAAGGCCACAAGGAGGAAGTGGAACTGAAGATGGGATATCCAGGAAGAACAATAATAAAAAAAAAAAAATCACAAAGAAAAGACACTCCAGATGAAACTGCTGAAAGCTGCGTCGTGCATCAAACAGCCATCAGTTGCTCTCTGTGTGTTTCCACTTCCTCCATCCTCACTGCAGTGACAGCTCTTTCCATCCAGGCACCAGGAGCCTAAAGCTTAGCAGTTCTCCCCATCGCTGACCGTGAAGCGCCACTTCCACTGGGACAGATGCAACAGGAGCGGAGGAGGATGTCTGGAAAAACTCCTGGAAGAAAGAAAGACAGAAGGGAGAAGCTGTAGTGTCTTGATCTTTTTCTTGTTTGTCACACACACACACACACAAAGTGACATCTGAAAAACCAAACAGCTTCGTTAAACTCTCCTCAAACAAGCCTCAGATGGCTGAGGGAGCGTGACAAGGCTGCCTTCACTGCCCCTCCTGGTCAGCAGCCCCCCACACAGAGCGGAGGGGAAACACTTCCAGCAGCTCGGGCTGGGTGGAGGAAGCAGGAGGCAGCTCAGTGAGCTAGCAAAACATGACAACACACACATGCTAGCCAGCTAGCATTTAGCTCACTACAGGAGGAGGCAGAGGTGTTGCACTCTCAAAACCACACGTGTGCAGACGTGATGAATCCATGACAGTCACAGATGTGTTGCGTTAGACCTGTGGCTGCTACGTGACCCCGCTGTCTGTCTGTCTGTGAGTCTGTCTGCCTGTCTGTGTCTCTGTCTGTGTCTCTGTCTCCACCACACACAGACACAACGGCTCCTTCACGACTCACAACTTGGTTTCCGTGTCTCCGGACACTCACCTGGAGGGTTTTCCTGTCAGCGCCGACACAGCTCCACTCTCACAACAGCGACAACTCTTCTCCTCCTCCAACAAACACTGCTCACTCCTTTGTCTCTGACACTTTTTCCTGTTGTCTCTCTCTCTCCCTCTCTCTCTCTCTCCCTCTCTCTCCCCCTCGCTCTCTTTCTCTCTCTCTCTCTCTCTCTCTGGCTGTGCAAACTCGGACATGCGCAGTAACGTCCTCCTGGCTCCATGTTGCTGTCACCGCCTGCGTCATCCTCCCCGTTTAAAAAAAAACTACATTTCCTTCTGTGCTCTCACTTGTAAGAAGTAAACACCACAGCAGTGATGAAACAAATCCATCCATCTATCAATCAACCAATCAACCAATCAACCAATCAACCAATCAATCAACCAACCAATCAACCAATCAACCAATCAACCAATCAACCAATCAA